ACTGGACAGGCACGAGAATTTGCAAATTAAAATGACAGCAGAGCTGAGATTGCCACCATGATTCTAAATACAGCTGTGTGAATATTAATAAAATATTTGTTTTAGGAAAGTAAGATGGTTTTTCACACCAGGTCAGAATCTCTCTCCAGTCAGCCTAATATAATCCAGCCTTCTTCAACCTAGTAACTTTCAGATGTGTTGTACTGTCACTCCAGAATTTCCCCAGCCATGGCAGCAGCCTCAGATTCTTAGGAAGAGATCTCACCTGCCACATCCATCTTCCAAATAGAGATGCCTAGAACTGAGCCTGGGACCTTTTACATGCAGAACAATGCTAATTCCCCTTCCCCTGCCAAGAACATTAGAAGAGGATGGTATCTCCATTATACTGTGCTGACAATTCTCCCCACTTAAACAGTATCTCAGTACCTCGGACTAGCTATAGTAATTTAAGCAAGTGGTTTAATAGTTAATGTGCATTCTTTAAATTAGTGGAAAGACTCTAAATGACTCACTTAGACACACACAGTTGAATTGGAGAGTTTTTCTCCATGGACAGCATGTTTCCAGTGGCAGATCACAAACTCTTTGCATCTGGAAGGCCCCACCAAATCAACAGCAGTTTGGTTTGGTGGCCTGTTGTATAATAGTGCATGACTATAAAATCTGTTACCGTGTCTTCGTTTCATGCAATTACAAGCCCACTCATTTATATCCAAGTCCCACAGAATTCCATGGTGCTGATATCTGGGAAATGTGCTGAGATTGCGATCTTCTGTGTATAGTCAGGGAACCCCTGTAGCACCGCTGCAAGGAACATACAACGCTGCCCTCTGTCAAGTCACATTATTGGTCCAGCCAAGCACCAGTGGCTGTGCTGGCTGAGATGATGGCAACTGTAATGCAACACTTCTGTGGGCCACAAGGCTGGGGAAAGTTGCCCTAGTTTGTAGATGACTATAAACTGTAGGTGGCAGAGGCTGTCTGGGGTTTCCGAGAGGATTCTTCCCCAGTCCTCCTTTGAGATGGCAGGAAATTGCATGTGCATGGAAATTACGTAGGTGCTCTGCCACTGGGCAGTAGTCCTTCCTTAGAGGGCTAGTGCTGGGGCTACTTCTCCCCTGTATCACAGACGCACCTAATAACTTGCATCCCAATCATTAGAGCATAACACTGTTCATTGGGCACACCACACAGTAGGCCTGCAACAGCTTTTAGGCCTTGTAAACAACTTTATCAATCAGAAGAACTGTGCAGCTTCTTAAAGAAAGGGTTTTATAAACATATTTGAACAAGTATGTTAAGGGTTCTGCCTTATTTCTCATTTGAAATTCTCAGTACTGCACAAGCCTCATTCCTTAGTCCAAATCAAATCAGTTTGGTATCCAAAGCATAACCATATCCACTATCAGGATCCATTCTCACAACAACAACAACAACAACAACAACAACGTTTCTGTATCATTTCACAGTTCAAGTTCTCTAGGTAGTTATGTAGGATAATGCAAATATATGTAGGATAATACACTTGCTTCAGTCCTTGTGTCATTGTTTTTCTGAATGAAAACCCAAATAAAGCACTTTCCCTTTCAGATCAGCCTTCCCCAACCTTATGGTCCTCCAGATATTTTAGACTTCAGTTCCCATCATTCTGAGTCAGCATTGCCAATCCTGTAGCTTATGGCAGTTGTAGCCCAAATCATGTGCATGACATCAAGTTGGGCACTACTGTTCTTATAAAGGCCATTCTCCTGCAAGGTAGGGATTTAGCATGTGCCTTTGCAAAGAAAAGGTGTATTTTCAATCTGCAGCAACATTATTAAAATGCTTTCAGAAGCTTGTTTTTCATCCACTACAACCACTAATGGTAGCCTTTAGGATAGCTAAGTAACCAAAGCAGAGATCCCTATTTCTGAAACAAGTTCAGGCATATATGAGGAAACAGATCTGCCTACTGACTCCACATAGGCCATATATCATTGCCTCATCTTATGGAAACGAGCAAAACAAAGTGTTCAGCTTGGAAGTTTACATACAAATGACTCTGCAGGAAATGTTGTAATCTAGACATTCCAAGTATAATTAGATGGGGAACGCTAGCAGAGTTTGCACAATTGAGGAGGAAGAAGCAATCCTGCCAGCTTCTTCTTCCCGTCCTGCACATACCAGTTGTGTGCTGCTTTATTTCCGTAATTATCTGTATCATATACTAAGTGCTGCCAAATCACTCCACAACCCATGTGCTGCTCTAGAATGCCAGGGTGGCTAGTAAGCACCCTCCCCAGGATAACACAGCAGCCTGTACGTAGTGTGTGTAGTTATGGAAACGAGGTAGCATGCAACCGGCATGGATGGGGTGGGGGAGGAAGAAGCTATTGCAGCCCTGCCTTCCCTGACCATGTGGACCTCACTACTCTGTGTGTAGACAATTCTAGGTAATATGAACAATGGAAAGTTACTCTAATGGTTGTCTGTGCAACCACATAGTTGGGTATATTGTACTTCTTCAGAACATTTGCTCAGAACGCTCCAAAATTCAGTGGAGAAACTACTCCAATACTCCTCCATTTGCCTGTAAGTACATGGTATAAGAGAGATGGCGAAGTTGTGGGGCTACACAAAGAACAGCTGTGTCTGTGCAACTCATATTTGAGCATAGGCCACATGGAGACCAGTGACAAATGAATAAGTTATGCAGAAAATGGACTTGGGAAACCTAATACTTCATATGTATGTACATAAGCATTTAATAGATTTCTTAGCTGCCTGACAAGATTATGGCTTTCCGAAGGTGGCTTGCAATATAAAATAGAAGAATTCAGTATTGAATTATATAAGCATCATAACAGAAACAACTTTAAAATAAACCAGTTAAAATAAGATACAATTTCACAAGTATATCCATTTGTCAGAGAACAGCAGGAAAAGAACCAAGCTATTTGAAGATTAACACATCCATGATGCAAAGTGAACAAAAGAGACCAAAGGTCCATCAATGCCCAGTTTACTCTTGTCCAGATCGTATCACACTGTTGCAATCAGACCAGAACTGGTCCCAATTTCTGCAGTTGAATTCACTTCTCCAGCATGGAATGGGGCTGAGTCCAAAACGTCATATTTAATTATGAAAGACAGCCATCATCATACATATTTCAGATTAATTTATGATGCACTTTGCTTTGCACTTATCAAGACTGAAGTTGTGTGCACACTGGCTGCTACATTAATGGTTAAAACCTAACATTGTTTCACATGCATGGGAACCATCCAGAATTCTACAGAAACTCATTCACATGGACAAACATAATGGGTTAACTAAGGACCAAATTAGATATGACAGAGGAGATTCATCTCCATTTTGCTTTTAATTAATTAGCAGCCGCAGGCAACAGCTTTGGAGATCAGGACAGAGGAGTTCTGGAAGAGTATTTAACCCTTTCCCCAGTGTAAATGCCCCCAAGCTATTAGCCCTGTGTCTGTGTGCCAGGAAGGAGGCACTGAAGAAGATGCAAACACTATCTTTCTCCTTCCATCCCCAAAGAAGCTAAGAATGGTAAGCTTAACCATACAGAACTGATCTGGTCTTGGGCAGTTGCAACTATATAGTCTGCATGATTAAGGAAAGGGCGAAATGTGCGGCTACAGAAACTTTTTGCACATCTGTTAGTATATCCCTGAGCAAACAAAACATTGTGGGACATTGCACTGATGTGGCTAACAGGTAATCTTCATCAAGATGATGTATGGTAGAAGGGTTTCTGATCAATATTTAATCTGGGATAGGAGTTGAAGCTTAGTTTCTTAATGCCTCAACTTCCACTAAAAATAAGAGGGAAGTTTATAGTCCTCACTGTGGAGAGATCTTGGAAACAGGGAGTGTCTTAAGCACTAGTTGAATACTAGGAAGAGATCCCTTTCATCAGGAATAGAGAATTACCAGTCAGACAACTGAAATTATTTTGTATCCATAGTTATAATTTTTATCTCCCATCCCTTTCTTAATTTCCTTTCTTCATCTGAGTTTTTTAAGCAAAGCAAGATGTATGTATTTGAGTACTTAAAGGCCACGTAATTTGTATAGTTTTACAACTACAATAAGTTTAAAAATATACAGACACAGCTGGAAAATGTATAAAGGTACAAAGAGTAACAGAGATTTGACTAAGGTAGGTAACATAAGAAATGGGAGGTGGCATACATTCGTTTTTAGTTCCTAAATATTTTTCATCCTAAGAATTATGAAAAACTTGCCAGTGTTTATGAAGGGACGCAATGGCATAAAACCCTAAGCCTCAATTATGAATTTCCTCACACAGTTCAAAGAGCTAGTCATGTCTGTATATCTGTTGCAGCAATGCAGGAGACTCTTTTGCTAGTGCACCTTAAAAACTAGCAGATTTATCACAGCACAAGCTACAACTATCCCATAATTAATCCATAAAGTTTAAAGGTACCACAAGACTCTTTTTTATTCAAAGGTTTATTCTATATGCAGCCTGAACTAATATCACCAGGGTTTAGTTCTGATCAACTCAGCTGGCCATGTAAGGAATTCTTCTGAGACAGTGGCATCTCCCTGCTGAACAACATGCATACTTCTTGGAAAATGTTCTCATGGATAATTGAGATCTTATTGACACTAAAGTTGCAATCCAACATACTTGGGAGTAAGCACCACTGAACTCAATGGGCTATTTCTGAGTAAAAATTTATAGGTTTACATTGTTAATTCCCTTTTGGATCCATGCTGGAAGGCATTAGTTAGATTCATATCTTTCTCTTATTACAGCAGTTCTAAATGAAGTCAAGTCATAAACATTACAATTTTTCCTGCATTTAAACACTTGCAGTGTAAATTATGCCAAGTCTTCCTTTTCTAATATGCTACAACCTTGACATTTTTCCCTTGAAAGAAGCAAAGTTTTCCTGTTCTAATTTAGTTTGCTTTCAGTAAGGTAGATTTGCACATTTAGTAGAGGAAGAAAGAGAGAAACATACCCTTACAAGGAACTCTTTATTGTCAAATGATTCCAAAAACTCTTCATTAATAATGCTCATTTTGGCAGTGAAATACAGTCACATTCAATGCAGATGTGCGGCAACAACATTAAGCTCATACAACAATGGAGCTCATGAGCGAACATGATGAACAAGTGTGTATAATAAAGGTGGGAGGATTTACGTAGGCAGCAGGAGGAGGTTTGAAAATTAATTCTTGAAATTAATTCAATTACTTAGCATATTATGTGCTTTATTTCGCAGACATTTTAATACAAAGCAATGGGAAAATGAAGCACAAATGGGTAAATGGTTTACCAAGCATCACACATGAAACTGACAGATTAACATTATTATGTGTGGCCCCACTGTGCTCCACAATGGCATTTTGAAGCAGGATCAGAAGAATCAAAATAGCACCTCCCACGTGGATGAAAATGTAAGACACACCTGGGAATTTGCTGCTCTTTGTTTCCAAAATCAGATGCCTAAAGTGGGCTGCCTCACACAGCCTAACACTAAGACTGAAACACCAACTGTGTTTCATCAGATCAACCGTTTGGCTCTGTTCTGAAGAGTGAATGTCAGTGCTACAATAATCAAAACCCGCAGCCATTAATCACACAGTTAGCAAGGATAGGAAGAAAGGCCCTGCAGTTCCACACAATTATTTTATTGTAAGAAATACCTTCACATAGGAGACTCCTCATCAAGCAAAAGCACAATCTGTCACTGAATGGGAAATCATTCCATGCAATAAATGAGCATAATTATGACCATGTGAATTCAGACTTCTTGTTGTTGACCTACTTTGAACTTCACTGAGCAATGATCTTAACCATTTTAAGGCAGCTTCATATCTTCATTTGACAACCTCTTATTCTGGGGATTGCCCCAAAGAATGCAGCACTGCAGGCCAGAGGCAAAATTTTCAGGAGGATGGGCTGAGAGGGAGATGTGACCCAAGCACGGGACTGCTTTTATTGGGGACCATATCTTTTAGGCCTGGCATGAACAAAAGGCTTGCTGCATTTTTGCATCAGTTAGTCTGTATCATTTTTCAAGGAGCACTCCAGCTCTAAGAACCTAAGAATAGCAATAACAGTTGGGTGATGTCAGTTTTCCCAGAAGCCTCATGGTATACAACAAGCAAAAAGGCAGAATGAGTCATGGGGGAAACCCCATAGGAATAAGGAAATAAAATTATGAATGACTAATAACTATGTGGTTCAGACATTCCTTACAGTGCAACACACCTCTCTGTTGCACAAGGAACAAGTTTCCATTGCCTGAGAAAGTCAGTCTGGGGTTTCTTTTTTCTGAGTATCTACATCTTCACTTTTCTTTACCAATTCTGAAACTTTTATGTCGCAAGGATGTCAACCAAATTAGTGAAATCATTAATGTTTTCTGCAATTACACCAAAGCTATTTCCTTCCTTCCATTTCTTATTAAGTCATTATTTATATCAAGCCTTTCAAGATCCAAATCTTTCCAAGGGTGCTTATAAATACATCAACATGTATTAATAAAGCCATGCAAAATATTAACAAGTGAAAACTAATCAGGATCCTGCTTCCAGTGCAGTTCATAATAATCGGCCTATGGGTGGGGGAAGAAAAGAGCATGCAACTGGAACAAGCCCAATGGCTCTCTTGCTTACCAGCTTGCCCATTGCTCCAAGGAATTATTCTGACAGGGCAATTGCTGGTAGCATGGGAGAATATATCTACAAGCACAGCAATGACAAAGCTTTAAGGTTATAAAGAAATTAATCAGACAGGCTAATTAAGCACCTAGGCAAGCTTAACAACAGGGCAGGAGAATCCAAGAATTGACCCTTCCCCACTTCCTAGTAAAATTCCAATCCCGTGGAAAGATAGCTATTAAAGATAGCTATGAAGGTAGCAAACCAGCAGACTTGTAGGGGCTATCCAGTGTATTGCACAGAGTCATATACATAAGTATCTGCCTGCTGGACCAGAAGTCGCTCAGAAGTGTGCACTCAGTATCATAAGCTCCTGTGTCTCAGGGAACCAATTTATTCCCTTTTAGGCCAACACAGCCAACCTGGAGAAGACAAGACCTCTGGGAATATCATAGCAACATCCTACTTCACATTGTAACTCCTCTGACATCGTGAGCTTCAGGAAATGAGGATATTACAAAGAGAACCATCCATTAGAATAATTCTTTGGGGGATATTTTCTGACACTGTGGGATTTATGACAGATGTACAATCATATATGCTCCTAACTTAGGTGTGCCACTGTATTCAATGGGAATTATTTTTAAGTACATATGCTTAGCATTGGGCTGTGAACAATGATGAATTTGAATAGGGGGTGTTATTCATTTTATACAGGAAATACTTACTTCCAGGAATTAAGTCTCAGTGGGGTTTACCTCAGAGTAGACACGGACAGGATAGCATTGTTAAGCATGTAGGTTATTTGTGTCTTGACTGGAAAGTAGCTTTAGGCTAAACCAGGGAAAATGTCATCTGCAGTAATGAAGAACACTCAGCTTGTATTGATCTCAGTGCAGAATGTCTGCCTTATCCACTAAAATATGAATAGTAGGCAGTTTTCATAGATACATTCCACTTTAGTTTTTAAAGAACTAATAAAATTTAGGTTTGCAAGTAACCAATAATGAATGTTATCACCTGGAAAAAAATATTTGCAGCTGTTTTCAGCAATGGATGATAATGGACCTGTATTCTAAAGACAAGTATTCAACTCAGGTCTGCTGTAGGGGCAACCTTCCATCTGGTAGATAATGTGTCTGGATCCCATCTTCCCCTTAAGCTAATTATACTTTGGTTGGGGAGATCGTAGTATTACAAGCAGTGTTACTCTTAAAGCAAAGAACCTTCATAATTGGCATGTGCCAGTCTGACATGTCTTACAAACACAAATTCCTTCACCAGCACCAACTTGATTCAGAAGCTGGCTCAACCTCTCTCTTCACAGGACTGAAGATTAACTTCAGTTTTTGATAGCATCTTCCCACATGTCACCATTTGTCCCCCAAACCTCTCGTGTCCAAAGAGCTTCCTCTTCAGGTCCCATTGGCTTAAATACCCTTGTCATCCAATCATCTCCTCCACTGGCCATCACACCAATTCTGCACACTCAAAAGAAACAAGCTACATATTCCTCAGTTCTCCTTTAGGTCTACTCCAATGCAACAGACCACACTCAACTACACTCTCTACAATCCTTGACAAATGATCTACTAATTTAAGAATACAGAGAGAAGGCTAATGTTGAAGTATGCGATAGCAGTTACATCTCTTTGCCCTAATAAGCACATTAGCCTCATAGCACTGAAGACGGTTCAGTAGTCTGCGTAAAGCAGACTACACTGGAGCCAACTGTAGCACCGGATGCAGTCCCAAGGCTCTGCTGGATTTCACAGCGCCAAAAAACATCTAACTAGCAAGAAGCCTTTGCATCAAACCTTTGGTCTTCTTCCACATTCATTCCAAACCTTTCATTTAACATACCAGAAAGGTTAATTATATTTTATTAATGTACATTTTTATTTTACAAAAAGGTATGTAATAAATCATATTGGACAGAAAATGTAACATTACTGCATTTATACAAGCAGAGTTAACAGTTCTGTAACACGACAAACATAATGTAAAAATATATTAAATACAAAATTTGATTTGTGTAGAAAATAACTGCATCCAGCAAATTTAATAGGTACCAACGATGGAAGAATCTGGAATTATAGTAGCATGCATATCTCTAGTCATATTTGATTTTTCTTTCAGCTTTGACTGAAGTAACGTGTGTTCCACTACGCCAATTCGTATGTCCATCTGAATGGTTTCTTGCTTCAGTTTGGTTAAAGCTTGTTTAATCTTTACTAAAGGAGCTGTTTAAAGGGAAAATGCAAAACAGTACATTTTTCTGTCAGTCTGCTGCACAAAGAAAGGTATTACTTTTTCTTCTTAATTCACTCCCTCTGCTAATCGGGAGAGCTAAATGAACAAAAGAATGACAATACTCTGGAGACAAGACTTTATAGATTCATCATTTCACATGGAAGCTATTTTAAAATTAGAAGATATTCTAGCACCTTCATGACATTTTGGATCTGAAGATGTGCATTAAAAATGTACATACATTTTCAGCATTTATAGTGATAGTATTAAACATTATATTTGAGAAAAAAGGTTATTGCAAAAAAAATTCTGCACATTTACTTCTCAATATATGCTAGCACAAATTCCATCAAATTCTCCAAGTACTCAGTATTATAAAAGACTCACAAATCTCAATGGACTGCAGATAGGATACAGCTGCACACAAAAAGCTTTCTTCCAATAATGCACTGCAAGTTCAAGTAAGGTTTATACTTAAGAGGATTTTAAAATGGAATTAAGCCACAACAGGCATTTCGTACATGTTTATCTTTTTGCCCGCCAAGAACATACTTCTGCCTGCATCAGTTATACAAAAGCGCTCAAGAATCACTCCTTCTTTTCACAAAGACCCAAGTAAAAGGTACCAAACAAGGCACAAAGTTCTATGCGCCAACAGAGCACAAACTCTAAGTGCGACTCAGATACCCCTTCTAGGTAGGTGTATTGCTCTACACTGGCGTTCTGTTCTGGAGCTATAGCTCAACTATTATCAAACAGCTCTCAAGATGGAGCTTTGAGGAAGGAGTTTAAGGATGACCTTACCTCCATCAGTCATACTGCTTCCCTTTTCTTCCATTTCTTGCTTTACCTTCTCTAATTCTTCAGTAATCTTAGAGAAAAATAAACAAATTATTTGTTAAATCTGGAATGTCTTTAATTGAAAGATATGTCTGGCACTTCTGGTGCAACAAATAAACTGAATTAAATACTTGTATGCCATAGGACAGGGCAGTATTAATCTGATTCAGTGGACCACTTCAAAATCCTACCAGCTTAAAATAACCCATAGATTTGATTGGTACCACAGTCCAAAAACACAGTCTAACACAGGAATGGGTGACTTGGGGCCAAGGGACCCAATCTTTCCCAGATGGACTTGCCTCCTTTTCTAGACCTCACCCCTTCTCCCTCAATCACCAATTGTTTGCTGATTTCCCAGTTTTCTGTTGTTTCTCCACAGTTTAAAAGGCTGAAATGCCTTCTCATAAGGCTTGGTTATGAACATGAAGAGCACTAAGCACAATATGCTGGTATTTTTGACCATACCTCCTTTGCCTTCATTCCTGCCCACCACTGAAACAGAGCTGCAGAGTTTCCCCAAAACAAAATTTAGTACTGGCTCAAAAAGAAAAAAAAAAGATTCTTCCCTCTTAATCTACTATAAAGTATATTTGACTCCCACAACATTAGCTTGAATTCCTCAGAGAGCTATCAGATGCTTCCTATATCTGCCATGAGGATCCAAACTGTGAAAAACAACAACAGGCAAGGAAAAAGCTGTCCCTGCTGAAGGACCAATACCTGGCAGCTTAGACAGCCAGGGACATTCTTTTCCAAGATCTGCTGTAGCCCTAAGATTCAGAAGCAGAGGAGCAGCTGGAGCAACAGGGAAATGGAAGAAGTGTGTAAACACCTTTACATACCCTCTACTTTATCTATCAACTGGCAGGAGCCAAACAGCAAACAATATAATCAGAAGCAGCCTGGGTGAAGAAACCTTGTTCTGCAAGATTCTAACATCTAGTGGCTGTTGCCAGGGGAATGTATACACCTTTGCCATAACTGAATAACTTGGCTGTTTTAAATGTACAGGATGGTATCAAGGATTCAATACATACACTTGTATAATGTAACTAGCACAGACTAGGACCTTTCCCATTGTCTAGCTTACATTGCACAAGTGCTGGTTTATGCTAGTGCAATGTCATTAGCACTAACTCTGAGGCACCATTGGCTATTATCTGTTTAAGCTGCCTAGACTCTATTGGTTAGTAGGAGGTTTATAAATGTTCCAAATAAACAAATGGCAATGGTAACTTTCACATTCATTTTGGTGAAGGCAATTTCAAAAAAGAAAAATAGGCAGGAGGGAGATGTTTAGTCTGATTAACCACTGAGGAAAACACTCCTCACTGGTTTTGCTGGCTCATCTAGTCATGCAAAGTTATGCACTCATATCATTTAGTAATAATCTTCTTATAATAAAGCTCAAAGCTTACAAAAAGGTGTTTTCTATAGGAAAGTTAGTAACTCATTCATCCTGAAAAACTTTATAAAAGCAAAAGTTAAATAAATTGCTTAACTTAGGAGTTGAGTGAATTGACTCAAAAGGATGAATTCCTGAGCTTAATTAGATTTAGGCATATGCAACTGGGCTGCAGAAGCAGACTTCCCTCCAACCCCACAGCAGCCTCTCCAGCCTCCACAAAATGTTACAACCAGGGTCAGGGGACCCTATTGAATGGGAAAGGTAGTGGGGCAGGAGGGATGAATGGGGCAAATCTGCTCAAAATGGTGGAAGCACCTAACAGGAATGTAACCCTACTACCAACACAAGGCAGATTTTGGATCCAACCCAAGTTTTCATACTTAAACCATTCAGGATTTCCAAGCATCTGCTTTGCAATCTACCAAGTCTGTGCAGTTCCTTAGGAGTCAGCTCCATTGTTTGCTTTTGATTGTACATGCATGACTAATTCTTGACTGCTATATGGAAAAAAACCCCCTAACTGCACAATTTGAAGTAGATAAGGCTGGAAACCAGTAGTACAGCTTTATACACAGAAAGTCCCAGATTCAGTCCGATGTCTCCAGGAATAAACCTGGATAGCTGCTGCCACTCAGTCTCAACAGTAAATGAACCAATGGTCTGACTTAGTGCAAGGCAGCTTCCTATGTGGCTTAACACTGCTGTTCTAAGATTTTTCAGATACTGGAGGGGAAAAAAGATATACTCATGGATTCATTGGCATTTGAGAAATTGCAGAAACATTTAAAAAGGTCTACCTCTGACAAAATTCTAGTCCTCTCTGTCACACCTCCACTTCCTTGCTTGTATTTCTCTTTGGCCTGTGAAGAAATGCTTTAACATGAGAACAGAATGTTTGAAAATGTCCTCTTTCTGACAACTCTTAAATTTATTGTTTAATAAATTTAAACAACGATTCCTATATTTTAAAAAAATCTCCAAGTGGTTTACAAGTGATTTACTGCAAAGAGAGTACAGTAACATAAAATACTTGAAAAAAATTGTTCACAGTACCATGCTTAACAAACAGACTGGCCAACACAATACAAAAGAAAAGATGTATCTTTAATGGTGCCTAAAGGATGTCACTGTTGCTACTTTTCAAACACCACCAGGCACTGCAATATCACCACTGCAGAGAAGGCCTACTTCTGGACTGGCAGACTGTGCAATACAACCAGCATGGCTTCCTTAGCTCCTTTTAATTATCACACATGGGGAATCAATCATACCGGGGAAGGCAATCCTGCAGGTAACCTGATCCCAAGCTTTTCAAGGACCAGGCTTTTTATGTTAAGATCTTGAACTTAGGAAGGGAGCTAATAAATAGCCAGTGCAGAGACTTCAACAGCAGTGCAATATAGGCATGGCCAAGTGCCCCAACTCAGCATTTTGGCTGCCTCATTCTGCACCAGCTGCAGCATCTGAAACAAGCACAAAGCAAGCCCCATATGAAGCCTATTTCAATTCTTAAGTGTGAAGTTAAACTTATATGATCTGATCTATAATTCAAATACTATAAAAGCCAGATTTAAATAACTTATGTTTATCTCTTTTGCACCATGTGAGTAAAAGTTACAGCTTGAATTTAATAGTAAAAATGTGCAGTTCATACAGCAAGAGGCACCTTTACAGTCTCCCAGCAGCAGTTCAAGATTTCTGGGGACAAAAAGAAAACATCAGCTGTTACCTCACTCAGAAGTGCCTGTGCAGAACGATACTCTTGAACCAAATGCTCCAGTTGGTTGTTGATGTACTTTTCTCGACTGCTAACCTTTTCCAGAGTTTTGCTGATTTCATTATGGAGTTTGTCGAGATATCCCTGTAGCAGTATTATAGGAGTCAATTACCACTGAAGACTGGCTGGGATTCAAAGAGTTACGTCAAGCATGCTTAGTGGCACTTTTGACTTTTATTTCTTTGACTGTCCAACTTTGATCCAACATCCAGAGAGTTTAAAAAGTCCTCTCCATTTCAAAATCATCTTGCTATGCATATGCAGACTAGGAGCGGGAGGGGGAGTTACCATTACAGAGCTAGAAATACAAAAGTCCATCATTACTTAATACACTCACTCAAGTTTTCATAACTCTTTTCAACCATAACTCTTGGATGAATTTGTAAAGAACAAAATGGCATCTATGTTCTGTTCTTAGTGTTAGGACTTACCCTCTGACAGTGCCTCATCCACCAACTAGTCAAATAATCATCACTGAACAAATTGTACAAGGTGAGTTCGGCTTGGAAGCTTAGCTCAGTCAGTCAATGTTGTAAGAAAAATGATGAAAGTTGTAGCAGTCTATGAACCCATTTAGATGCCATAACAACCTACAGGGTTTTTTTAAACCCTGTGCAGATAAATGTGATGTGTGAATAGATTTCTCAGTTGTTGGGAGAGACACAGCCAAAAGCTTGAAGCTATAGTTAAACAGTTCTCACTATTTGCCATCACCAGCTGAATGGCCCTTTCCTTGGAGGGCAAAACTGACCACATCAGAAAAACACTTCATTTAGAAACAGAGTCTCCCTGTAATGCCCAATTGCTAATAGAAGCTTTCCTAAATTTTCACTATATAAATTATAGCTGGCAGAGAAAACCAGATTGCTAGCAACATTTATGGTCTCACTCAAGTAGCTCTGGGGAAAGTCTTCCCAAAGTCTGCTGCAAAAGCCCGTATGTGTGGTGCACAGAGACCACAAAGAAGAAACAAAGAACTGTGCTGCTGCATAACCAAAGCCACAAATAACCAGTATCAAGTAATGCCAAGAGATATGAAGCATGAGAACTTAAAAGGGACAACACACAGGGAACTTCTCCAGGAAGAATTGAAAAATTAAAATCCCTGCACATCTGAATTACTTACATGTATCAGAGACTTACCCTGGTATCTTTTAAAGCAGATTCAATTCCATCTTGGTGCTGATGCATTTGATCTACATGAATTCGCCAATCCTAAATTTAAATACAGAAGATTTTACAAACAAAATTGCAATTTACTTCATACATGCATAATCAAACCTAGGATAGTTTATAGTGGGTGTGGGCACATACACATGGTGGCATGTTTCAAGAATACTGTATAAAAATGATATAATCTAAAAGCCTTGGACGAATCTGTGCTCCAAAGTAAACTCTGAAGAGAACTGCCAATACATAGAAGGCAACAGTGTTTGCTACTGATGGTTTGTTTGTAAATATACTTGTCCCAGAAATAATTTTAACACAGTGCTTTAGGCATTAATATTGATTCTAGACTCAATTCTCTGGCTGAAGTTTAGCACTGATAGAATTTTTGTTATTTTACAGAACAATTACCAGTGTCCACATATTTAAGCAAGGGTTAATTTATCAAAATTAACTCAAAGCAGACATTCTAAAGTAGGCTTTTTCAGGTATGATGAGTTCACATGGTTAAACTCAGTTGAAAATGACTGGATGAAAAAAGCCCATGCAGAATATATTGACATATTCTAACCAGCACGAAAAGTGGAAGAATGGAAATAAACTGATGGTTCATGCGATCGGGCAATATTCAATACTACATGCTACTGAACTTCCCATCTACTGCCCCACCAGTCCTTTGAATTCCACATTACTTCAGAAGTTCTCTGACCCCTCCACAGCAGATTTCAGGGTGCAGTAGAGAAGGGGATTTTTTTTCCTTTTATGGATGCTGCTTTATTGAGAGAAGATGCTAGTTGGATACCACCCTCAATTTATAATTGTATTCTGCCCCTCCTCTAAGATGACCCAGGATGTTTTAGCCTGATGAGACTACAACAGGCCAAATTCTAGTGACTTCCACTGCTCAATGGGAATATGAACTGAGATTTCTCTTATCTAAGCTAGTCACTCTAGTCAAGAATGCAGAACCTCTTCCTCACAGAACACTGCAATCAGGCCCATTTCGCCAGGGCGAAGGGAACTCATCTGGCCTGACTGCATGTTACTTTCCCACTTATGAAGCTTCCATGTGCAGCAAAGCCAAGTTGGCTGAGTTCCCTTCAAGGCACTCAGCCATTTTGGTATACACAGTCCTTAGCCTGGAAAGTCTAATTGCAGAGAAGCCTGATCCTGGCCCAAGCACAGAGAGGAGAGTCTACCTAGTTCCTAGGTCAGACAAAACACTATCAGCTGCTCATGTTTCACTAATGCCATATGACTTGTGGAATCTTGGGAGGGGGCCTTCCAGCCAAAACTAATTCTGCAGCCCTGCAGTTTTTATGTGTAATGATTCCCCCCCCCCCCACACACACACTGCAATGTACCATCATGCTAATAAACACACATTCAGACCAATCTGCAATTTGAAATGGTAGAGATCAGAAGCTTCTTACCAAGAACTACATCTCTAAAGACACAGGGGCCTGAATTTAACACATCAGGTGAAAAGGAAAAAGTGAGTGGCGTGCCAGGCATGGGTGGGTGGCTTAGCATATCAACTCAATCCACCTTGCTTCCCAGGAAGTGACTTATATGCTCCTCAGGAAAACCTGGCTTCTTGTGGGGTTTAGTAAACTTTTCATTGTTGGTTGTGTTGTCTGGGCTTGGACAACACAACAACCTACAGTCAAGGAAACAATGTGAAAACCCCTAGGAAAGAGCAGGAACCTTTCTGTCACTCCAGCCAAGGGGTTCTGACTGATGAGTGTGCAATGGCACATTGGGTGGCTGTTGCTGGCTTCTCTCCATGCTCCTGCTGCTGACTGGCTCTTCCCTCAGTATCATAAGAAACATGGGAGAAGCCGCTGGGTTCTGTAGCATGTTGCCACTTCAACCCTGATTTGGGGCTTGAGATGCTAGGTATATGGCAGGAGAATCAGCTGCTCAGCTTTGCTTCAAGGAAGAGGGGCAGAGTGGCTAGATCCTGCCTGCTGTTGCAACAGTCCTTTCAGCTGCAAAACGAAGGGAAGCAGAGCAATTCAGAACCCCTTGCCCCATTTCCCTACTGTCCTGCCCCCTCTTAACAGCGGTTGTGAAACGGGAGTAAAGGGAGCAAGCACAGAAGAACACATCATCCCTTCACCGGCCAGTGCAATTATGCTGGCCAGCTGGTGGTAGGGGTTGCTTTCCCAACTGGTAGCCTCCCAGAAAGCCAGGGTGGAAGCACCCCTCCCCCACCTGCTGGGCAGTGCAATCACCGTCAGACCCACTGTCAGATTGGGAAGACCCACTCTTCCCTGTGTGAGTGGGGCATAGGAAGGAAGTGGTGTGTGGTATGTGGGCTAGGTGGTGCCACTGGTGACACCTGGCCCACAACATCTTCCAAGCTCTGAGCAGGACTTGAGGAGGGGTATGTGGCAGGCACAGGCTCACTTCCTTGCCCCCACTTGGTGTGGTGCCTGCAGGTATCTTGCCAACTGAGCATGCAGGACTGCCAGTGGGTGCAGCATGTTTGACTGGCTCTCCCCAGCTAAAGCCACTCTGTTCACCACTCTGGCAACCCCACCATCCATTCCTGCCAATGCCAAGGAGCAATCCTGCTTTCCCACCACTGGCAACAGCACAGAAACACAAAGCAGATGCCAGCTGCCAAAAGACTGGGCACTTCCAGCGGTTGTCAGGTCTGATATTCTGAGCTTCCACAGTGTCCACTGGAATGCTGGCAGGAGAACTAAGGGGGGAGTGTGTGCCTTGGGACTCTCTTTAATTGGGCCAGCAGGAGCCTCAAGGCAACTTTAAGCTCAGGGCAGCTAAGTGGCCACCTTTGTCTTAAAGTACCACCTGAACCTACCCAGTATGGTCTTTTAAGATACTGTGGTACTTTGCTCTCTGGTCATAACCCAAATTGGTTGTGAGTCAAGTCAAATTTTTCCATAAGGTTCAATGTAAATAAGGTTAATCCATCCATTCTGTAAATGTTTTTTTTTTTTAATCACAGGGAAGTCGGGCGCAATTGTGGGAGCGCTTGTGCAGGGAAGATGGGCATGATCATGGACATCTCCCCCCACAAGCGCGCCCACACTCATCTTCCCTGCACGAGCGCGACCACGGCCATCTCCCCACCCCCAGCAAGGCCACAATCGCAATCATCATCTGATGCGGAGTTCGCGACTTGAGGAAAAATTTTTCTGAAATTTCTGTTCGTGACCCGATTTGGTCAAGAACTGAGGCGTTCTTGAGCCAAGGTACCACTGTACTATAAGTATAGAAGCAGGCAAACTGCAGATTTCGTTTTTCCCTCAGAGAAGTTCTGACAAAGGCATTCAAAGGTGTTCCAGATCAATCAAGGGGAGAAAGCAGCAAAAAGAAATCCCATTATTTGAATAAGGGAAATAACTGGGGTGGGGTGGAGGGGAGACTAGAAAATTCCAGATATGAGTCATCCTGACACCTCTCCAGACTCCTTCCTGTCCCTGTGAGATGTCCCAACTAGACAAGCAACTATTCGAATATGGAGAATGAGCAGAGGGAGAGGTGTTGATTGCCTCTGCCACTCCTCCCACTCTGCACTGGATGATTGTAAGCCTCTAAGGTCAGGGGCTTATGGGCATCAACAAAGGACTGCATCTTTAGTTGAGACAACCAAATCAGCAATGGACATATTAGGAAGTAAAATTTTATTTGTGATATTCCAAAAAAGCACCAATGGGACTTAGAAATGCATTGGATATATGAAATATAATCTCGAGGTTTCACTACTTTGCAGCCCAAAAAGATAGCAGAATCCTAGAGAGGAAAGGCAGAAAGAAGAAAATTGGGTGGAGAGAGCCCTATTTTTAGCATGCTTGAGTGAAAACAATACAGGCGGAAATCACAGTGAAATATCAGTAGCATGTTTAAACATAGCTATGAAAGTGAAAAGTTATGAGTAAGTGGTAAATTAAGCATAAATGGTACTTGTACCTATGTATCTGAATGGGTACAATTCTACTACCATGGAGAATGCACTGAAGGAAAAAAATTGGAAACCAAGATGTGGAGGCCCAACAATACGAGTGTCACAAGCAGTGGTGGGGGTAGATTGTGCATATATGCAATGCAAAAATGATAATACTATCAAATGATGGTAGAGCTGGGAGGGGGTGCAGTAGAATGCATCAGCTCCTGCCCCCACTTAAAAAGAAAACCCTGCTGCAGGAGATCAAAATGAGGACAGGGAGAGCTACATAGAACAGTTTGCACACTGAAACAGTGGCAGCAGACTTACTGCTCAATGACAAAATACAGAAGTCAAAAACCACTGCGTGCAAATAAACAAACAAAACCTGATGCCAACTTAATACTAGACATATGGCTTGAACATCTAGTTCCTCCTCAGGGGAAACTGTCAAACAGTTCAGCTAATATTTATTGCTCATAAAATATTGATCTAGTCTAGACTGGATCAACTTTTTAATGAACATGTGAAAATCTAAAGGTTAAGAAATCCAAGTGCTCCTCTTAATAATCTATTTACACTACATTCAAAAAGATACTTATGTTTAAAAAGTGGAAACATGTTTAAGCTATAACAGAGGTACTATATTTGCAGATGCTCATTTATTTTAATTACTCTGTTATCAGTTAAGTATCTCTAACAACACTTCATATTCAGCAGTGAAATTTTCCAGAAAATTGGGATGTGGAACCATAAAGCAAGAAATGGAACCATTAAACATTGTAGTACTTCTTGTGAACTAAAATGGATTAGAATGTGACACATTTAGCTAAGACAAACACAACCTGCTTTACATTGGAAATGACAAACTCAGAAAAAATGGAGGAGCTCTAAGGCATGATGCAGCATAGACAGCAAAGGTCTAAAATGCAAAGTTCAACCGACCATCAGTCAGAATTCTCAGAAAACCTATCAACATAACCATCATTCAAGTCTATGCTTGAACAACAGAGGTTGAAGAAGAAATTGAAAACTTATACATATATCCAAGAGGAAACTGGTTATACTCCAAACCATGACAAGCTGATCATTGTAAGTGACTGGAATACAAAAGCAGAGTACTACAAAAATGCTGTGGAAGAATTTGGCCTAGAGGGTCAGAAAGAAAGCAGGAGATTGTCTCATAGAATTCTGTGAAGCCAACCATCTGTTTATTGAAAATGCATACTTCAGGCAACTCAGACAACTTTACACAAGGACATCACCAAACAGCCAATTTAGAAATACACTGACTACACAATCAGAAGCAGCAGATGTGGAAGTGCATTTGGGTTGACAAATTAAGACCAGGAGCAGATTGTGGTAGTGACCAGGAACTATTAATATCAAAAATCGGAGTAAAGCTGATAAAGAAGACAGAAACAAAGTGCCAAAAATATGATTTAAATAAGGAATTTAAGGAAACTAAAGTTCACATAAAGAACAAATTCCCATTACTCAGCTCAATTGTCTGTGAACCAGAAGATCTGTGCACTGTAACCAGAAACATTAGGGAAGAACACAAAAAGACAATTCTTGTAGCAAAAAGAAGGAGGGGTATGTGTTGGGGGGGCAGGGGGTAGATTAAAAAGAAACACAAGAAGTAGAAATTCTGACAAATAGGGCCAGCATCCTGAATGCCACTTTTCAGAAGCTATCACATACAGATAAAAAGAATGATCACAACGGCCAGTGCGAAGAAATAGAAGAGTACAACAAAGAAGAAAAACAAGGGACATCTTCCAGAAAATCCAATAATCAAAAGGAAATTCAAACCTTGATTAGAAATGCTGAAATAACACTGGGAGAACATACAGTCTGATCAGGATAAAATAAAAGGGAAGGTGGAAGCAATATAAACTATACAGAAAATATAAAAGGATGGCAGACTCCTTTGAAGAGGAATTCTAAGAGGAAGAACATATAATATTAGAAAGTGAAGTGAAAGCTGCTCTGAAGGTACTTGGAAGGCAGTACCAAAAAAAAAAAAAAAAATTCCATGCTTCAGAAACTGAATTGGCCCAAATCCTAACAATATGTCAACAAATATGGAAAACAAAACAATGGTCCACAGACTAGAAATGTACAATCCAATCCCCAAGAAAGGAGGTGCTAAGGAGGCAACACTTGCTGGAGACAACAAAAAGTTACAGGAAGAAGAAGGGGAAGACCGATTATTTATTTAAATTTCTAACTCGCCTTATCAGCCATATAGCTCCCTTGGCAGGTTACAGCATATCAGATGGAATAATTCCATAAAGAAAGTCATAGCCCTGAGTTTACAAGAACTAAGCAGGGCTGTCAAGGATATGGCAATCTGGAGGGCATTCATCTGCAGGGACAACCTAATGGCACAGAACAATTTTACAGAAGAAAAAGCAACTGCAAGCTTAAATTCAGCAGATCCAGAATGTCTGCTCAAAGTAATTTATAATCTGTTAATTACAATCTGAGTTTTCAAAAGCATATATTCATACACTAATAGCAAGGTGGTTTTTTGGGAAGTAGGTTTACTGATTTAGCAGCAAAGCAGTATAATAAGTCATTACCCACCTTGTTATCAGTTCTGATTGTAACTTTCAACTGGGGAAGAACTCGTTCCACTTCAAGGTTCCATTCAGCCGCATCTACTGTAGATTCTAAAATCTCTTCTTGCTTTGATTCAATCATGTCCTTGCAAGAAATTTTTATGAAACATAGTAGCACACATTTGTTGTTCAAATTGCAATGTCCCATTGTCCTGTACAGAACATACACTCCTTACACCAATTCAAAAATCTGCTATACCGTCACAAGTGCTGAAGACAAAGCTATTTAAAACTTACGTTACTACTGTTTTCTCAATGATGACAGGACTGCAGCAGTGCAAGGATACAGGCCAGTCAAATGCATGACAAGCTAACTGCAACATCATTGCTATTTGGCAACTTCCTGTAAAAGTCATACAAGACTCTTGTGCGACTTTACTAGTTTACTAAACACATCAGTATAAGAGCTTTGATTTTCAGGGATGTAGGTATTAAAAGGAGTAAATGCCTTCTTTATGCCTCCCTTTTTAAATATATAAAGAGATCACAAGATTAGTAATTCATTGTGCATTCAACATTTCTAAAGTTGGTTATATTGAAGTTTAACTGGCACTTTAAGATACAGTCATACCTACTACAATTGTTTCATAAAACTAATGGCATGTGGGTTTAAAATAAGAAAAGTACCAATCATATGGCTGAATTCAAAGAGACATGAGAGGAACTCACTAATGCAAAGGAGTTCTCTCCATCAACTCCCAGTGTCCATTCCCAAAAATCCACACATACAATTGCATGAGGGTTCAAATACAGACAGCTGCAGGAGGAAAGGCAACTTTAACGAACAGAAATACCTTTCACCTACACAAGACCAGCTTTTGACCCAGTGTTCAAAGGTAGCTGAATAGCAAAAAACTTACTGATTTGTAAGTTTGTGCCTTTAAGACATTCAGATCAATGTAGTTTTCCTCATTGTCTGTCTCTTCTTCCTTAAAAATATATAAAATATTATTTAGCAAGACATGCAACATTGTGATTCAAGTATGGTTTTCTGAATGCTATCACAAGCTTTCCCAAAGTAAACTGAAGTGTGGTATTGGCATCATGCAATATACTCCCATAGAGCTCTTTTATAGCCCGTTTTACTACAGCAACTTTGACTTTTTTATATTAAAACACTACTTTTTTCTAGTTCACAGAAGCTGTTTACAACCATTCCTGGCTATTCTCTAGGCCTGTGTTTGCATGGACAATACAACATAGGAATTAGGTAATTGTGGATACAGCTGACAGCAATCCCTATGATTGTGACAGCTGGAAAATTGCTGCTGAATTAACAGAAACTGCTGCCAGCTGTATCAGTGATTATTTTTATTTGATATAGTAACATTTGGCCAAGTTACCATGTGCCTGAGGATGGTTTGTACTGCTAATATATAGAGCACACATTCTACTGTACTGACCCTTAGATTTGCAGCAATTTTGATCCTGTATTTCAGCAGTCATGAAAAGGTGCCAAAGAAATAAACAGTTTAATGTCAACTGGAATAGCATCAGTGAAGCAACTAGAAAAGATCCCCAAGGGTAAGGACATTTCACTTGAGAACAAGATCAAGATCAGCCATACTACTGTATTCCCAATCATTACATATGGGTGTGAGAGCTGGAGAGTGAAGAAACCTGACAAGAAGAAAATGGATGCATTCAAAGCATGGTGCTGGAGCAGAGCTTTGCAAATACCCTGGACTGACAGAAAGACTACTGAGTGGGTCCTAGATCAAATCAAGCCAGAATGTGCCCTGGAAACAAAAACAAGGAAACTAGGGCTGCTGTACTCCAGGCATATAATGAGAAAACAAGAATCACTGGAAAAGACAACTATACTAAGGAAAACTGAAGGGAGAAGAAAAACAGGAAGATCAAATATGGGATGGTTCGATTCTATAAAGGAAACGATAGCACTGATTTTACAGGAACTAGGCAGGGCTGTCAAGGACCGGGCATTCTGGAGGGTATTCATTCATAGGGTTATTGTAAGTCAGAGACAACTTGACAGCATGTAACAACAACAATGCATTAATTTATTGCTTTAATCAATTTTAAGTGTGCCCAAATGCCAACTTGAATGACATTTTTTAGTAAACAGGCAGGGAACAATCCAGTAAAGACCAGGTTCTTTACATGTCAATACTGCACTGCCACAAAGGGATCTGGGACACAGAGAGGGGGTGGGTGAAGGAGGAAGATGAAAACAACCTAAGAATTGAGGAACAAAATGATTTGTTCAATCATCTGCTATAACAAACCATGGTTTAAATAAGTCATTTATTAGCATTGCACATCAATCAGACTGGAGTGGACTGCATGCAGAAAGAGATGGGGAAGAAAGAGAGACACATTTCAGTACTCCCTTACATTTGAAAAATGAAAAGCTCCAAGCATGCTGGAGGTTTATGTTTGAGCCCAGCCTAATGTACCTCAATGGATTTTACTTGTGATTTTTCCTGAGATGTGGCTCACCTTGTACAAGCCATTCCAGAATCTCTATTACTTCATTCTGTTCCATGTGCAGCAAGGCCTAGTTGGTTTTCTACATAATTAAACTGTGCTTAACCTATTTACATCAACAAGTTAGCCATACTAGTTATACATGTCTTATCAGTATATATCAATTTAAGTTGTAGCATTTGATGCACAACAAGATTACAAAAGCATATACAGGCTTTTCAAGGTACACTGGGGCCAGAAGACAAAACCACCCCTTTATCTTGTTCTCTCAGTTGTATTTTTGTTGCAATTCTATATCTAAGGTTTACTTCTGAGTAAATGTAGGACTTAACTGTTAAGTATAGGTGTTTTGTTTAAATTTAGCAAAAATAATGTCAACAAAATTACATATATTTACCGCAAATATTTCTTCCACTTTATTAAGAGTCAGTTCAGCATCATCTTCTGTTATTGCTTCTTCTTCTACCTCCTCTGTTGGATACATGGGCCTGAAACAATAAATGCAATCTTGTGAGAATGTATAATGATACAGCAATTTGTATTTCTTCTCAAGTAAAAAATACAGACATTTTTATGGTATTGCTAGGCAGTATCCCACTTACTTGAAAATCAGTCAGATCTGTCAGTTTATATATTGTAATCACCCTTTTTCAGATGTTTATGCTTAGGCAGCATGTACACACTAACTCTTTGGATGTGGTAAAATAGTAATGTTAATAGCATCTGGTGACTTCAAGAGTCACCATTTCTTCTTCTCCTTCACTTACACTTTTCCCAACCTCTGCTCTGGGAAATTCCCCAATGCTTCAAGAAATTGATACCTTTGGTGTGTTCTTGAATACTCCATAGCCTGTTTGTCTCAGTGTGCTTCCCTTCCCTTTGGGGAAGTGTCTGTTTTGATTAAGTTTGGTTGTTTGGGGTTGAATATAACACCATTAGAAGGATTGTATTGTACAGTACACTGAGTGTGGGCATGTCTGGTGTTTCCTTCTGAAGTCTCTGTTTGGCTTGTAGACTTGCAGAAACCAGAGCTGGAGAGGTCTCATTCATAGGTGAGCATACTGCAAGACCGGGACTGTAGCTGCCTTTAGTTCTAGTAGTCATTTTATTTCTTGTGCTGTAGAACTGGTGTGTAACTATAAGCAAAGGGCAATTTAGAAAGAGTTGCAGCTCTGTTCCATGGTAGATATATCCATGAGTCCACAGCATCCTGTCTGGCTCCAACGTATACAGTAGACTGGGACAGAGATGTATAGATTTTTCATGGTTAATGCACAGTCCTAGATTTGCAGGGAGCTGCATGTAGTGTGCATTGAGGCTCTCAAGTCCATTGCAGATGGAGCAATTAGGGGCCAATCATCTAGGTTAGGATATACTCTAATCCCTTGGATGTGAAGCTGTGCACAGCCATGAAGAAGAACTTACAGTTCCTTGTTTTAACTGCTGTTCTACCTTACTGTCTGTAATGGATCTCAGACACACTATCCAAGTTTGTGCAGACGTGGAAAGAATGTGGTGCCTGGCCATGAGAAGCTCAGATTAAAATTGTTGCTCAGCTAGGAATGTTACAGGATGGAATCGTACAAGGTACTCTCTCTCAACCATACATGTCTGAAAAATTGTTAAGATGAAAAAATGAGATAACACACATTCCAGTGTGAGCTTGCTAAAAGGAGGATGGGATAAAAATCTTATAATTGGATAGGTGCTTAAGATTTTCACAAAATGATATTGCATAAACTGGTCAACACAACAAGAAGTAGCCTTGCTACATTCCAATTTTCCCATGTCAGATTCTTCAAGTTCACTTGCTAGAAAAGACACACCATGCATGCAACAGAGGCAGTATCATGAGGAGGATGCCTGGGTTTCAGTTGTAAAAACATAGAAAATGAGGACTGAAAATGTGTGGAAGCTTAGGTCTATGCCTGGAAAACAAGAGTCATGGAATTTATAGCTATGACCTGCATGGATTGTTGTGCTGTTGTCATTTTGTACAATTAGCCCTGGAGTTGCTTAAAATACAAAGAGAAGAAACAGAATCAATCTTATTAAGCCATCACACCTTTTCCAGGCAAAGGACGTGTATTTCAAGGCTTCTTCTGCTAAACAGTCAAGAACATAGCATGCTTGTTCTCCATAACCCGCCTTTAACTTTGAGGGAGGAAAATCCACAGATCTTCCCTGAAACAGAAATATGCATATTAACAGAAACTTCATTGCACATGACAACTCATTAAGGTTTGATTCAAATATGTTTACAGGATAAAAAAGCAATTTGCATATGTGACTGAGTCACTAAACATAAACGCCAGCCACAGAAATTACATATGAACTTGGATCAGTTCAAAGGCAGTACTTTCCAAAGAAGTCAATTCATAAAACTCAGGGACAAGAATCAAATGATGAGAAATTAAGTGATGCTTGTGCCAATGGTATCTATGGCCATCACAATCATGATCTAGCAAACTGGTTTTAATTTTTGTTTTCTATCTGCATGTGCTGACCAAATGTGAATTGTACAAAGCGTAACATAGTTCTCCTTGGCTTTGGAAATATTTTCTAGCAATAGTTTGCAAGTACACTACTTAGGCTGCCATTTTTATTTTCTTGATTTCCTGTGCATGCCTGGAAGCTCGAAGAAAGGTTTAAGTTCTAAGCCAGAGTAGGCAACTTCTGGGGACTGCTTTACATACCCTGAAACCAACTGGAATCCCTACGCAGCTTAATATGCTGCTGTCCCTGAATCACATGGATGTCTACCACAATAGCAAAATTTGATTGTGACTGACAAGGAAATGGGGAGGGGGAAGGTAGTCCCCAATAAAATGGCAAAGGCAGTTGCATGTGGCCCACATATTGCCCATGAGTGTTCCTAACCATGTTTAGTACTAACCATGTTTTAATATGTTAAAACTTAGCCACAGGGTCACTTAAGACATGAGATAGTGTCCACATAAGCATTGTTCCTAGGAATTGCTAACATTATGTGAATCAAAAGTTATAGTACAAAATCAACTTCCCACCATTTACTTGCAGCAGGATTGAAATAAACTGGAATTAATCATTCCTTTACAAAGAGCTACTGTTGAATCCACCCACCTGTTCCAACAGAGAAACAGAATAGCTCTTGTTCATGAAGCGGGAGACTAGCAAGGCCCTGTCACTTTTTTAAAAAAAAAACTCCTGTAGCACTATAGCATGACAAACTGTACTTGTCAAAGTTTATTTTGTTTATTTTCTATACAGCCCAACAGCCAAAGCTCTCTGGATGGTTCACAAAGCACATAAAAAACTCAATAAAAGATACATTGTATAAACAAAATTAAAGCATCATTAAAAGTTTACAATACAAAAATTAAAACCACATATTAAACCATACATATATGTATTTTCATATGTACATAAAATAATTTAAAGAAACAAACAAAATATTCAGGCCTTTCAGCCCAGAAGCTATTTGAATGCCCTGCAGTAGAGGAAGTATGTGGCACTGAAAAGATAGTAAGGTTGGCACCAGGCGGACTTCAGTGGGGAGCTTGTTCCATAAGTGGGAGACCATCACCACTGAAAAGGCCCTTCTTGTTGCCACCGAGCCTCCCTCAGGATGGCAGTTAGAGATAGGGCCCAGAGCTTGATTGCAGTGTCAAGGAAGCAGAAGGCTGGGAGAGGCGTTCCATCAGGTATTGAGGTCCTAAGCCATGTCGGGCTTTATAGGTCAAAACCAGCACCCTGAATTGGGCTCCGAAGGATACAGGCAGCCAGTGCAAGAGGGCCAGAATTGGTGTTACATGAGCAGATTGTCTGATCTGTTAATAGCCTGGCTGTCACATTTTGCACAAGCTGCAGCTTCCAAACAGTCTCCAAGGACAGCCCCACATAGAGTGCATTGCAGTAATCTAGTTTAGAGATTACCGGAGCATAGATCACTGATAGCAAGCTGAGCCACCAGGCAGCTAGTGGAAGGAGCTCAGAGTCACTGAAGCCACCTGGGCCTCAAGTGACAAAGTTGGCTCAAGGAGCAACCCCAGGCTACAAAGTTACATCTTCCACACAATTGTTTAAGAAATGTATTAAAAAATTCCTTACTTCCATTTGATTGTCCTAAAAGTGAAATGGTGGACTGGGTTGATTTTACAAGAAAACTGCTAATATAAACTAAAAGTGTATCAGGCATGGCCTTAATGGAAGTATAAAGGCTTTCAAACAAGAAATGAATATTATGACCAGTGTCTCACAATTGAGGAAGTAAAAATAAATCACTTATTTTCCCACCCTGCGTGTGCTGGTTATATGTTGCCTAATTACCACAACATACATACAGTCCATTCCTACATATGTCTACTTAACAGTAATCCCAATTTAATTCAACAAGTTATCATTCATATGCACATGAATGATAAGGCTATCCATAGCTACCAGTATCATTGGATTATTTATTACTTCCAGTAACAGAAGTAGTATGCTTCTGAATACCAGTCACTGAGGAGCTAGAGTCAGATGGTGTGTTATGCTCATGGCTTGCCTGGATTGCTTGGATTCCCACAGACATCTGGCCACTATGGCCATTCCCACTATGAAAACAGAATGCTATAGTGGTTTTGGATCTAGCTCTATCTGGGTCTAACTGAATCTTCCTCCCATTCTTTGACTGACAGGAAAATAGAAACATAGAAACAGAGTGAGTCAGAAGGGGCCTCCCGGGCCATCTAGTCTGACCTCTGGCACCAGCCGGCTCCGCTCACAACATGCCCACCATGTGCATGTCCAGCCTATCTTTAAACACCCTCACCAATGGGGCCTCAACGACCTCTTGTGGAAGCCCATTCCACACCCTCGGGGTCCTAACTGTCAGGAAGTGTTTCCTGGCATCTAAATGGAACCTTGGTTCCCTGAGCTTTGCTCCGTTGGAGCGCCTCCTGCCTTCCTCTGCAGGGGAGAACAGGTCTCTACCCGTCTCCATGTGACATCCCCTCACATACCTGTATGTCGCCAACATATCCCCTCTGAGTCTCCTCTTCTCCAGGCTGAAGAGACCCAGTTCCCTCAGTCTCGCCTCATATGGCATCCCCTGTAAACCGGCCACCAACCTTGTGGCCCTATGATGCACTGACTCTAACCTGGCTATATCCTTTCTGTAATGAGGGGCCCAAAACTGAACACAGTACTCCAGTTGCGGGCACACCAGAGTCGTATAGAGTGGTAGTAATACCTCTCTTGATCTAGAAGGCACACTTCTGGCTATGCAACCAAGGATGGTGTCTGCCCTCTTGACCACTGCATCACACTGCTGACTCATGTTTAGCCTGCAGTCAACCAGCACCCTGAGGTCCCTTTCACAAGTGCTGCTCTCCAGCCACTTGTCACCTAACCTGTACTTATGACTCCTATCCCTATGCCCCAAGTGCAAGACCTTGCACTTATCCACATTGAACGCCATCCTGTTGTCTCCTGCCCACTTCCATAGTCTGTCCAGATCCTTTTGGAACTGGAGTACCTGCTCCTCAGTTGTGGCCACTGCTCTAGTTTTAGTGTCGTCTGCGAATTTGATCAGCGGACTGTTCACCTCTTCTTCCATGTCACTGATGAAAAGATTAAACAGAATCAGCCCCAGGACAGAGCCCTGGGGGACCCCGCTTGTCATTGGCCGCCATCCTGATGATTCCCCACTAACGGTTACCTTCTGCTTTCGGTCAGTCAACCATGCCCTAATCCACCGGACAGTGCTTTGGTGTATCCGAAAACTCCTCAGTTTCTCCACCAGGATATCATAGGGTACTTTGTCAAAGGCCTTGCTGAAATCCAGGTATACCACATACACTGCATCCCCTCCATCTAGCCATCTTGAAACCTTGTCATAGAATTCCACAAGGTTTGTCTGGCAGGACCTGTTTTTGCAGAAGCCGTGTTGTGTGGCTGTCAGCCTCCCTTCCATATCTAGCCTCACTAGATCTCTCTCGATTAAAATACTTTAAGGTTATAACAAGAGTAGTTTCATCTTTAGAGTTATATTTCTAATTTTAATTTTGTCTGCAAAATCTATCCAATATATGCTCATATTTATATGCCAGTACAAGAGGTACAAGGATCAATCTTCCCTCCCCAAGGGCCACTCTGGGCAAAGGAAAAAGTTGGTTTGCCACTGAAATTCCACAGCAAAACAGTGCATAATTTTCAGTAGTGTTAAAATAGGTTGCCGGCTTGCAAGCTATATTTGGCTATTTAGTGTTCCACAGATGCTACAGAATGCCATCGTTTAATTTTGTTCATTCTGGAGGTGCAGGAGAGCTTCAGTCAGCTTGCCTGTTGATCATACCTATTGTATGCAATACTCAACTTAGGGTATGTGCCCTCTATAAGAAGACATTATTGCTAGATAGTGCTCACTTTATTATGAAATCTGGCCACTCAAATTTGTGTATCAAAGTACTCTTCTAGCTCCGGACAATGTCTGGAAAATGGAGTAGTCAAGTAAATACAAGTCAACCAACCCTCTTAAAGAAATATAACTCTGTTGTAGCGTCAGAGAGAACTAGCACATATGGAGTTCACAAAGTAATCATGAAGGCCAAAACATTTTAAAAACACAAAACTAAGTGGTCCACTTACAAATGAACGCAGCTCTGAAAGTATGCTGGATATTGTTGCATTTGGATCGTCATATTCTTGTGGTTGTTCAAAAGGATGTCCTGCTTTATTAATCAGCCAGGCGGCAAGGGTGCAGAACATATAAAACTGCTCACCAGGGTTAATAGGCAATGCAAAGTAGTGCCTGTTTTAAAAGGAAAAGAATGTGATATTAGCCTGCCTATGTGAAAAACTCCTGCCCTCTTTGTTAAGGAACAGATCTGCATTATTATAACCTTCTATGCCCTCAAAATTGCTTTCTTCAAGGATGACATTTATAGGGCTGGTATTTCACTGACAGGCAATTTCCCAGATGGATGTGCTCTTTTTCTCTCTCCCCCCCCCCCGCCCCTTTTCTTCTATTACTTTACGATCATAAGCCACAACTAACTGTGTCTTCATGTATGTACATACTAGAGAATATTAATTTGAGTCAAAGGTTTTAAATACAATTAAAAAGAGTCTGCTCGCTGAACATTTGATTGTCCAAAGGGATTCAATTATCTGCTCATTTATAAAACTTTCTGCTGCTTGACCTTCCTTAGAATACAACACTCATATATTCAGTGTTTAAAGAAGAGAAAACTATTTTATCAAGACTGATACAAACAGAAATTATATGAATTGCGGGTAGGGAATGTAAAACATTAGAAACCATCTCCACAGCTATATGCATCATAATCTCCAAGATCAACACAAACAGTTCACGCATTTAACAGAAAGTACCCCCTAAACCAAATCTTCCATAAGCTATTTTCAAAACAACAATTTTAGCATTTAAAGACTGTTTCTATCTAAGCTGATTGTTGGAGGCCAAGATTATACAAATCAATACCTGGTAGTGTTAATACTGGTGACAGTTTAAGCAGTCAATTTTATTTTAATTGATTGTCAATAGCATATTTAATATTTGTTGTTAAATCTATTAGTAGCCACCCTAAGCTTTCAGGATGGGTAGCCAATCCATCCATCCATCCATCCATCCATCCATGTGCTTCAAAGAAACAAAATGAAGGCAGTATCAGAAAGGGTGATATCCAATTTTTGTGTGAAACAGTCGTTTTTTATATTTGTAGCTCCTTGTTTATTTTGGCACTACCAGCCATGCAAGGTAGGGTAGGTATAATACCCCGGCTCAAGTAGCCAGAAATGAATGAGAAGAAGCTTTTCTGCAGACAGGCCAAAAATGTGCACTATTTGTGTTTGATCTTTGACAAAGGCATTTATAAAAGTTTCATAGGGAAAGCAACTGCATATTATTGACTTTCCCATTCCATTTCTGACATGGGCAATTATTTATTTTTCGATTTATATCCTGCCTTTTTCCTACAGAGGGCTCAAGGCAGCTTACATAATTCTCCTCCTCCATCTTATCCCCACAACAACAACCCTGTGAGGTAGATTGGGCTGAGAGTCTGTGACTGGCCCAAAGTCACCCAGTTGGCTCCATGGCCGAGCAGGGACTCGAACCTGGATCTCTTGAGTCCCAGTCCCATGCTCTTCACCACTACACCACACTGGCTCTCCTAATTATCAGGTACAATGAGTCATGAATCCATCAGCCTCTTATGTTCTACTTCCTACATTAAATACAACTTGCATGCAACCCCTTACACATATATTCAAAAGTAAGTAAGTAAGTATAATTCAAAAGTAAGTCCCATTAGGTTCAATGGGTTTGTTTCCAGGTGATGACTGCAGTCTTAGAATGAAGCCTGTAACTCAATATAGGTAAGAGACTCCTGTAAATAGGCCAATGTCTTCTGGTGAAAGCATGAAGAGTTTTATGACATATTTCTCCACTAAAAGGTGGAAACATTTCCTTTTGTCTCTTTAGGTAACACTTGAAACTCCCAGATGATTTGTTTAAAAAAAAAAAAAAAAGCTATTTCCGTCCCACACTTGAATTTCCAATCAGTTAAATACTCTTAGTTTTAAAGATAATGGTACCTCAGAAAAAGGATGCTGACCACGGACTTATTATAAATTGTCTTGACAAATAATCTTCTTATTAGTTATTATGGATTTGTATTATCTTAATCAGATTCTGTTACCTGCAACTACATATACTCTATGCTCAGGTTTCTTAATTGTCCTCAAGGTATAATGAAAATGAAATATACTGCTATTTTGTTCCAGTAAAATAATTTTTTAAATTTAACATACAGGACGTCTCCAAACAATTGACACCATTTCATAGTCTAATAACATAGCCAATTCTAACTCAAATGATCTCAAATTTTAAGAAAATGTGTAAAAACTAACTAATGTTAGTTACACAATGTAATGCAAGACATGCTACAATGTGTTTGGCAGGAGGTGGATTACCGACTTGATGTGTGTTGTGTCACAGGCACTGCATATATTGAACATTTGTGAAGCTTTGTGAAATCGGTTATAAAATCTACATCCCTTTGAATCTCTTGTTCAAATTTTGATAAATAAATCTTTTATTGTTCAACATGAAGCCTATTTAATTTCATTTGCCTAGGACATGTAGTTACTCAGATATTCACATTTCAAATAATGTCAAAATGTTTGGGACACCCTGTATTATAGATGTTTTTTATATATATATATATATATATATTTCTGCCAACACCTATCTATGACTGCAAGTTCCACTTATGTGAGTGGAACAATATCTAAGCTCAAGTGAGATCATGCTTCATTTTCTTTAAGTTAGAATATTTCAATCTTTCTATTTCACAGACCAGATGAGATGATCTGATATTGGTTTTATATCCTGGTTTGGAGGGAGCCTTTAAACCACAATTTCTTGGTTCAGACATCACGATATACTATCATTTTAAAAGTAAAACTACTTTGCCAAAGTCGGATGCGTGAGGAAAAAGAGTGGTGTGAAGCCGCATGCAGAAACCCAGCTCACCAAGATAATGACCACTGAAACAAGCTAGTCTCTCACTGTACATTTTCTTCAAGAAGTCTTGAAAATACAGACATAAAAAAATTAGTTGTGATAGCGTAAGAAAATTCAGACAGGTCTGCACAAAATCTTTAAAATCTATGCCAATTTACATAATATGCAATCCATTTCAATTATATTCGGGCATCCATGCAGGTTGTAATTTGAGCTGAGGCTAAATTGATGAAGGAAATGAGTACTAGACTATGTACACTGAACACTAACTTATGTAATGGGTTGTCACAAAGAGCTGCTCAAGAAAAAAAGTAACTCTCATGGAAAGAGCAACCTTATAGCCCCTAGGTGAGGATCCCAAGGGGCACAGGATAGCTTGGAAAACTTGTGAGGATGAAGACAGCGCTTTAAGCTTAGAAGGGGAGGTTGGCAATCTGCCATCAGCCCCCTCACCCTAGCAGCCAAACCAAAGAGAACTATGCTTTCCATGGTAAAAAAACATAACTTTTCAAGAGCAGAAATGGGGCATTCCAGTAGAAAGGGAAGGGAGATAACTGAAGAGGCTAGGAATCAAATTATCTTGATCCTCCTCCACCCTCCTTTTACCCCCATTTTCAGCTGAGCTAAAAAGCCTGCCTAGTGAAAACCAGGAAAAATGGATCACTTCCACTGCTCCTCCTACCCTGGTTTCAGCCCAACAGGGCATAGAAAACTTGGAAGCCTCCAAGCAACAAGGCCATTAGCAACAGGATTGTACTCTAAGGTAACTTTTTGTTGCTGCCAACACAATCCAAGGCACATCCCATAGTAGACATTACAGCATGAGACTACAATATACATATGCCACAAGTATGACAACTAGGAATATCTGTTTAAAAACCTTGGTAACTGAGTTAGGAATCTATACTGTCTTTAGCATACTTGCAATACATAGCTTTCATCTAAGCCACAAAAGGATTTAGTTAAGTTGTGAAAAGCCTGGCAATTAAATGATTGCCAAAAAGCCAGAGTTATAAAAAGAACAGTATAACAAACTACATTAAATAATATAGGGAATACTTTTTCTGATGTTTCCTTTTCTATAGATGAGAATAATTGAAAATAAACCCTTTAAACTGAATCCTATAATGGAGAAAAGGCTACAGCTCCTAGATGCCAGCCAGCCATATAAACCTATAACCCTTTTTCCTTTCTAAACATGCACAGGATTACACCTTGAAAACACGAATACTGTACCTCAAAGTTCTAGACTGTAGTGTTGGACTGTAATCCAACATTTTTTCAATGAGAAAATGTTGGATTTCTGCAACTTCAGTTTACTACTCAGAGCAGACTCTTAACTATACTATACTCTTAAATAGCATTTACCTCTTTAACGATAACCACTAAGCCAAGATTCTCGACAAATTTGCCATTCATAACTTGATATTATATTTTTCATCTGTTCCTACTGTCTCCTACTAGTTAGAAAGAACTTTACTAGAATTCAGGTTGCCTTACGCTGCTAAGCAAAGAAAAAGGTATTGCATTGGCTGCTTTTATGCTTCCAGCCCAAAATGCAAGGTGCTGGTTTTAACTTATAAAGCCTTCCATGGCTCAGGACCACAATTCCTGTTGGAGCTCTTTTCCCAACCATGATCTACCCAGACACTGCACTCAACTCTGAGGGAAGCATGAAAGCGGCAACAAGGGGAAGGGCTTTCTTTGTGGTGGCCCTCCAACTGTTGAATAACCTCCCCACTGCAACTTGTCTGGTACCAAATCTGTCATCTTTTCTGCACCAGCTTAACATGGCTCTCTTTTCTGAGCTTATTCAGCCAACCCAGGAGTTTGAAGAGAATCAACAGATGTCTGCAGACTCACTGTTTTCTTTCTCCTTTTTATTATTCCTTGTTGTCTGTTTTTTATTATCTGTATTTAGCTGTTTTAAACTTTTTAAGATTTTTCTGCTTTATGATATTTTTATTTTACTTTTAAAGACTGTATAAGCTGCTCAGAGCGCTTTGGCAGCACAGAATAAATAAATAAATAAATAAATTCAATATTACCAATAGGTCCTATGATCTAGATACATCTAGAGATACAAATAATAGAAAGAAAAACTTGGAGGCATGGTACACCAAGGGAATAAAGCCATTATTAACATACAGTTACTCATACAAAGACCAATTCTTCCAGATCTTACTTGGAGACGACCTTTCTCTGATACATATTCATTGTACTGCCTCAACATACACACCTCTTAGTACATTAAGGCCTGGAGATAGAATGCTGTATATAGAGCACCTGAAAAACAAACCCTGCTTATTTATTAACATAAGAATGCATATTATTAGCTTCCCAATTTACAAAAAGTCTGACAGCTAAAGCAAGATATCCACCAGCTGAATCCCTAACTAAAACCTCAGGAGACCTACACAGAAGTTTACCTACTCATCCTAATGTGCTAAATAACAGCCACCCCAAAGGCTGTTTTAAAATAAAAAAGTTATTTTATCACTAGCAATGCTTCGCAGGTGACCTCTAAAAGGCATATACCCAAAAATCATGACTTGAACATAATTAAAATTACCAGCTCTTATACTGCTGTTTCTTAAGCAGCTCCACCAAGTTTATCACAATTTACTTTTAACTTATTAGCTTCTCTATGGCAGTTTTGCACAGAAAAAGTTATGCATGGTTAAAGCACACGAAGCATATACACACCACAAACCATATGCATGTAAAGAGTTCCACCAAGCTCAGTGGGTTTACTCCTAAGACTCTTAGGAGAGAATCTATGCGGTATTCATACATGAACCGGCCTGTGGTCCCATTGTACGTTTTCCTCAACAACCGCTGAAAAAATTCGACCCCCTAAAATTCACTTAGGAAAACCTACACTGTTCAGACAGATGTGCACAAACGCTTTAAAATCTGTGTCAACGTGCATAATCCGCAATTCACTTTCATCACATTTGAGCTGCTTTGTCTTAATCCACCGTATTCTCCTGCACGTATGAACGAGCCCCGGGGCCCCCATAGCCACGTGAGCAGTCCGTGGGCGGGACCAAGTCGTACCGTCGCCGCGACCAGACCGGGGGCTTCGTCTCCCCGTACTGCCCGACTCTGAAAGGGAGGAGAGCCAAGGCATGAGGCCTGTGTTACCTGGAAGGCGGCCTCATGTTGTGGCTCCGCAGCGCCGCCTCCTCCTCGTAGTTGAGCAACTTCAGCTTCTCCAGCAAATCCTCCATCATGACGAACATGTGATAAGCCGCGCCCGGGCCCCGCTCCGCCGCCGCATCCCCTTCCTCGGCGGCCGCCATCACCATTCCTCGAGCCCAGCAGCCTCCCTCCGCTTCCGAGTTGCCAGCACAACAACACACAGGGGCCCGGCTGGCCGCTGCCGGAGGTAACCGGGGAAACAAGCCCCGCCCATTCGGAGCCTCGCCCGCCAATCGCTTGGCCTAAACAGCCGTCCGTGATGGGGCGGGCCAATCGTTTCCTGCCGAAGGGATTGTTGGCTGCGCGTAGCTGGAACGAAGCTGTGTCTCCGTCCCACTGCGCAGCTCTGTCCGCGTAGCTCCTGCTCCGTTCCGTCTCCTTCCGGATGCGGTAAAATACCGTTAGCAAAGAAAGTGAATTCAGTCCGTTTCCCCGCGTCCCACAGGTAGAATTGGCCGGGAAAGCTGGAGAGAACACAGGGAGGAGGAATGTTGGAGAAGACGGGTCCATTCCTGAAAACTGTAAATAGAGCTGATTAAAGTCACCCTAGCAAGGTTGTATGCTATCGACAGTAATGACGCATGAACATCCACTGGACCAATCAAGCCATCTTCCCGTTTTTATTTTACAGATTATACAGCACTAATATGCATAATTCCTGAAAAAGGAAAGGAAAGATACAGCTATTCACAACAAAGGCGGTGATGGAGGAAAGGTTGAATACCACCGGAAAGATACTTCAGTTATTAAGATAATAATCATAACATCCATGCACTTTGCAAATCAAAACAAAAATAAAAAGGAAATAAAATAGTTTTCATACATAAAATTTGAATGAATCTGTGTACATCTATATTTTATGAGTAACAACATTTACTACTTTATTACATTTTAAACCTCCTGATAGTTGAAGCTTTTCAGGCAGCTCACAACACTTAATTAGGTTCAACCACTTCCCTAGGTGTTTTTCTGCTTCTGATACGTATCTGTGACCTCCACGCCCCTCCAGTTTTGTCAATGAGGCAAAGCAATTGCACAAATCTGGAAGCATCTCTGAACAGTGGCCAGAGTAAAATATTAGCAATCTCTGCCACTACTTTATCTACCTGCATTTTATACTTGCATTTATACTTGCATTTTATCTAGGTGGGCCTTTTTGGCTGCCTAGATAAAGGGGTGTGTGGGGGGTGGGGGAGGGTGATGCCAGTAGAAATCAGAATAGGTAAATAGCCCCAGCACATCCCATCTCTGTTTCTCCAAGCCACATTTCTGCTCTCAAAGAAGTAGCTGATGCAGTTCTTTGCACACCAGTTGCAAGGAAGGTGGGGCAGGGGCTCAGTCATTGGAATCTGAGCACAGCGGTCAGTGGACCTCTGTGCTGGAATTCTAAAATCCTGGGGCTTCCCAGGCAACCTTGGGAGGCCATAGGATTGTGCCCTTAACTATATGTGCATGAGCATGTATGTAGTGTGTACAGTTGTATTTTTATTTGTCATGGGTTTCTTATTTGTTAAATTGTTGTGTATATTTTTATTACCCACTTTTGGAATACATTCCCAAGTTGAAAAGCATGCTCAAATTATTCTTACGTGAAATAAATAAAATAATGTTGCTGAGAAGATCTCCCCTGCCCACATGTGATGGCATATGCTTTAAAATTCCTATCTTCAGTATCCTCAGCATCAGTGAATCAGTTTGGCTCAGGCATGTAGTGTGATAAATTAAGACTCACTGAGACAAAGGAATGACAGACTGTTTGGCTGCTGAATGGCTGGCACAAAGAAGTGAGGTAACAGCATTTTGCACAGAACAGCCCTGGTCCTTGGAATGAAAAGGGGAAAGCCGTGAAGGGACACTTCACATCCCACACAGTGTCTGCCGTACAATTTACATTCAAAGTAGTTAAGTGTAGTGTCTACAGATTTGTACAAATGGTGAAATGCATTTTTATAGCATCAAATTAGGACCGGCCTCTATTTTTGCAATATAACAATTAAGGTCTTGGTCCAGTTTTCCTCTAAACCTCCTGACCTGAAGGCTCACCTGCATCTTCTGCATGGTAGGAAGAATGCAGAGGGAATCTTCACCTCTCTGCTCCTACTGCCTTGCACTTCAGTTAGATTGCCAATCTCAGCCAACTAGCTGTAGTGATTCAGAGCCAGAAGGAATGAAGACTGCTGCTCAGATACATCCTATCCCATCCTGCCCCAGTCTCTCCACACCCCCGGAACACCCATTCCAATTCTTTTCTAAGCTTATTTTTATGATCTCAGAGAAGCAGCCATCAACTGTGAGATTTTGGAGACTCCAAGGGCAGAGCTCCAGCTCTGAGGTTCTTTCCCAACCTTGGATCAAAGAATTTGAAGAATCCTATAGGATCACTCTGTGTGGTCCTTACATGATTTCATCCAATAACATCACGAGTGTATTTGTATAATTTGTGAATGAAATGTTCTTACAAACCCAAGATGTTCACCCTACATGAATATGAAAGAAGAATATGAAAGACTATTAGTACTGTGTAGCAATCTGTTGAGTAACAATTATGAAAATTGGGAAGATACATGCTGGTGATATGAAAATGACAAAACTAATTTTCTGCACATTTGGTGAGAATGCCCTCTATTTAATTACTTTCTGGGAAATGTTCTATATGCAGTATCAGTAATATGCAATGCTGTATATCCTATGACCCTCTAAGAATTCCCCTTGGTTATGTATTATTGATTTAGTCCATTTCTATACTACCAATTAGCTGAAGCTTTGTTCAGCATATAGTCAAAGAAATAGTCAGAATTTATTAATGTTTGTAAAAGCATTAATCTGAGATCTTTGTTTTACCAAGTGTTCAATTTTTGCTTAATGTACATGCAATGCTATCAAAATGTTGAAACTGCTAAATGGCAAATTACCATGTTTTAAATTTCAAGCTAGATTTCCTAGCATATATATAATGATACATATACTTAGAATTCCCTAGAGGGCTGTTGACTTGGTGCTCAGGGCCCATTTGCTGCTCTTGGTTTCTTTAAAAAGTATCTATTTTGTAATATAAGGAATATAATAGGCCCCAGTGCACACAACCCAGATTCCAGTCACATGATGCTCCTATGGACCTGCAGTTGTTCACACATAGAGATGCCTCTTCTGTGCATGAATGTCAAGTGGCATGGATGCCATGTTTGGCCCAGGCCAGAAGTCTCCTCCTTTGCAGAAAATTCTGAGGCCAAAGACCCTATGAAACCACTCAAGTCTATCATTCCTTTTGAAGAGGCCACACTAGACCCTTCTGAAGCAGGAATGCCCACACTTTCTACAATCTTTCTCTTCCAAATCAAGATATCTCTTGAATTGTGCCCAGAAAAAAACTGAATTGCAAGTGTGTACCATCAGTGTGTACCATCATATTTACTGATATTTTGGGCCTCTGTCCTGGACAAGCAAGATAACAAGGGAATAATAAATGACTGCGGGAATACATAGATGAGCCACAGATAGGTTGGTTGTTCATTTTTTAGGATTGCTGCTGCAGCAGCAGGAAACAAGAAAAAATAAAACACATAGTAGAGTACATGGATTTAACAGCACTTTCTCTACAACATCGAGAAGAATGGTTCTACTAGGTTGTATTTGCAATCATGTTCTCTCTAAATATTTATATCCTTATGCATCGCCTTTTAAAGGCTTCAGAAAAGTAACGGCAATTTTCTGGAGACTGTATTCTGCCTAGGTCTATTCTCTTGGTAATGACAAAAGCAATTCTCTGGAAGAAATGTGTGCTGCCACTATTACAAGCAAGATCAACTGCTGGATCAAAACCCCAAGTACAAAAATTGAACAACCCTGTTTCATGAAGAAATTCCAGAGGGAATATACGTGCAAGCACATTAAAATTACATAGTTGCTGCTGAGTGGCAGCAGCTTGTGCAGCTGGTATTGGAATACAGCTCTGAATACAACAGAAGCAATTGCTAAACTGAGCGAACACATTTAATGCACTGGAACTATATTGCTATATTTATGTGTTTGTAATAATTGCCACACTCCTTGGGCTGTGTGCATGGTTGCATTTCAAGCAGGCAGTTAAAAAGACGGCAAATGGAAGGAATCCAATCTAGAGGGAAATCTGCACTTGGCAAGGAGTTTGTGCTGTTAGGTAGATCCAGCTGTGCATCGAGCAGCCAGTAAAGGTGCAAAACTGCCACTTAGACTCATGCCTGTCACATGCCCACCTATGGAATGAGAGTAGGTGTGAGACCTGATGGGTATGGATGTGAAATGCTATGGTGGCTCCAGCTTTTTCAGCAAGACACTCACAGTTGTCCCCCTCCTTCAGTAAGTCTGCCTTTGCCTGCTATTGTCACCAGCTGCTGTTTCTCCTCACCCTTTTCTCTTCCTAGATGTTTTGCTCAAGCGTTTCAGCAGAAAAGCACATTTTTGGCACCAGAGTAGCTACTGAAAAAACCAAGTGCCAGTTTCTAAGCTCCAAATCCCATTCTTCTCCCAATATGTATTTGTTTGAATTTGGAGATGTAAAGTTATTCCAGCATCAAGTGCTGACTCCAGGTGTTTTTTTTTGGGGGGGGGGTGCTTCCCCTCAGTGAGTCTTCCTGTCCACCACCATTGCCACCAGCTGTGATCGCTTCTCATTCTCTTTCTCGTCATTGCAGAGGGCCATGAGCAAGTAGGCCTCTTGCTCTCCTCCTCCTCCTCCTCTTAACAACCACCATTATCAAGGCCAGAGCAAGAGGCAGCTGACTGAGCAGGTTGCCATGGTGGACAGTCAGAGCAAGGGCAGTGGGCACCTGTCAGTGCACCCCTGGAGGAGTGTGGGCTCTCAGCAGGAGCTCAGCATGCCTGCCCTTGGCTTTGGCCCTAGTGAAAGGGTTACAACCCTTTCGTAGGAGTATTCGTCCTATGTGTTTGCATGTAGAGTCTCTGTGTCCTTTATTTTCAGGACAGGAAAATGCACATTCAGGTTAAATGCATAGAATTAAGAGGGCCTGGAAAGCTAATTTCAAACTGAAAACTGAAAAAGAGTAATGCATGGGTTTAATACTCTGAACACAACATTTAAAATAAACTTCTGGAAATAGAAGGAATTCCCATATTTTGGTTCGAAAAGTTTGTTTTAAACCTCACCCCTCCACTCACTATTTGGTAATTTGGATGTTGCTAAACTTCTTCCAATCTACTCCTACATT